CCTTATCAATATCTAAATTTGCATAAAAAGGATAATTTTCTTATCGTATCATAAAAAATAGTTGAACTTATGTCTTCATCTTTAAAATGTTTGTCAGTTCCTATTGAAAATGCGTTTTTGAATCGAATTTATTAACCAGAGGGACACCTTTGTGGTGCACACCATTGGTTATCGTTTGATTCATGAAAGACACTCCAAAGAGAGGATTATACGTATTGTTATTTAACAGTCTCGACAGGAAAATCGTTCAATCATTTTTAAACCAGTAGAATGCATTGAGAAAGTATTGATGTCGATAATACCACCCAAGGAAATTAGATTTAACTGTTTCATGGTTGAATGGTAACTATGAATGCTAAATATCTCATATTTCCAGCAATTCCAGAAGAACCGTAGTCAGAAACGAAGGACATCGCTTCATTAGCCGCAGAATGATTGCAACAACATATGAAAAAAAGATAGCTTATTAACAAATAATGTGCTCACCCACTAATGTGGGAAAGGTAGGTCAAATCGCAACTTTTTTCTTAGCAGCCAACATAATAATCTTCATCACAGCATTTCTTAATAATTCCCTGATCCTCGTTGCCATAAACAAGGAATCTTCCCTTCATTCACCGTCCAAACTCTTGTATTGTTGTCTAGCAACATCCAATCTGTTGGTTGGTCTTGTAATCCAGCCTCTATGCTACCTATTGTTATTTAGAGTTTTAATGTTGACAATGGCGGCTATCAGCGCGGACAGACTTCTCGCCCTGTCGTTGGGGCTGAGATACAGACAAATTGTAACGTTAAAGTGCATGTATATCATTACAGCTATCTTTTAGATAGCATCCATTCTTGGTTCATTATTCTATACTTCTGGAATACCTCTTTTGTATAAAAAAATAGTTATTCTGTCATTCTCAGCGATCTCTTTCACCTCGTATACCAAGATTTTGCGCACTCTCACTCGTAATCAGGCTTAAGTACAAGATCATGTTCAACAACAGCCTAGCCAAACAACTGCACTAAGCATGGCAAGATACGGGTAGGCTGTGAGCAGTGCATTGTGGGTGCAGTTGGTATTAGTTGTTTGTTGTGCACCTAGTTTTATGTTGTCAACACTTGTGATCATCTGGAGGACTCATTCATTACATTTACTCACCACTCCTGGAAAAACGACTCTTTTAGTGTATTTAAGGTCCACCTTGAACTCGTTCTTTTACTGCTGGAAGATTTGTGAAGTGAGAAAAGCAGTGAGGCAGACAATCAGACAAGCACTTTGCTGTTTATGGAGGTGTATCTTTTCCCCTGGAGACACGTACGCGTGCGAGTTCATTCTTTAAATAAAACTAGCGCCATAACTGCCAGAGGAAAGGACATGCTAGCTATCATAAGAGATATGAATAATCTATACCATTGGTTTTCAAGTTATTTAATGGTATGGAAATCGGGGTAATTAGGCTCTTCTGGCATGGACATTTCTGCTCCGGAGCAGACTTAGATTCAATTTTTATAGCTAGCACGGGTTTAAAGGCCGCGGTTAATCAATGCCTTTTGCGCGTCGTTGTTATTGTTATTATCCGGGAACTCGATACTTTTTTAAAGGCAAAGTAGCTTTTGCCAATATTTTCAAATAGTCTACCAAATGAGTAGAGCTTTTTTCAAGCTGCAACAAAAAAATGTATATATATGAAGAAAGGCATCCAAACAGCGTTTGAAGGAAACAAATAAGAATTGCGTGTGCTTGACCAAACGCGAGAAAAGAGCGCAAAACTATGATCTCTTAATTCACCGAAAACATAACCGTAAGTCGTTCTGTATTTATCTGAGATTTTCTAATTTTTCTTTCGATTCTTCATTCTCCCTGTCCTCTTGAGATAAAGACCATGTATTCGGCAGGATCTCGATCAGGCATGTTTGCAGCAGATACAAGCATCACGTGGTCGGCGAATTTTCATGCCAAGGTCACAGATTAATGAAAATTGAATTCGTGAATGCATTTCAATTCTCTTTTCTTTGTTTTTGTTTCTGGAAAATGGAAAAATGAATTTAAAAAATCCCATTTTCAATCTTTTGGAAAATTGCATTTTACCTGGTTCTTAGATTTTTTTGAAAGATGAATTCCTTAAATTGTCATTTTCATTGTTTTCAAAAATAAATCGAAAATTTTTCATTTCATTATTATGAAAAAAATTAACAATTGATTGATACGTTTGCTCTCCAAATTAAACTCCCCGCGTGCTTCACATCTCGATGAACGCTCAGCTGAAGTATGAACCAATTGTTTTATAACATTTTCAACCCGATGGCTTAAATATTGTAAAATTAAGGAACTGTTCATGCTTAGCGTACGTATATCGAATTATGGAGCTGAGAGTAACTCTAGCTTTTTGAGTGCTCTTCAAACTTCCCAAGTGCATCCATAACTCGATATACGCACAGCTCAAAGCATGAGGAAATTCTTTTCTACAGAGCGACAACAAGGATCTTCCGACAAATTTGCGAAACGTGCAACTGGCGAGTTTTTTTCGGCTTTATTTTTGTTGCTTGTTGGATCAGGACCTAATTGATGGATTGAAAGATTGGGAAGTTCTTCGCTGGTTTCTTCCAGCAAAACTGCACTGCAGCTTAACAGGACGAAAACTCTGAAACCAGGTTTAAAAAAACGCTTACGTCATCTTATTTACGCACAGACGTGCGTAAATAAAGATTTTGTTCATAACGGCACAATAGGACTTATATAGGCAAACACGCGCGCTATGTTACAAATGTTATGTCATACTCGAGGCGAAGCCGAGAGAAAATCCAGCTTCTTGAGTGCTCTCGAAACTTCCCAAGTGCTTCATATCTCGATGAACGCACAGCTAACGTATGGACCAACATTTTCAACCCGATGGTTTAAATATTGTAAAAGGGTTAATATTCCCTCTGCTACGCTTCAGCGCGATGATAATTTTGTTTTTAGGAAAACATTTCGCTACGCTGTAAACAATCTTGTTTCCATGTTTAGCTTAAATTGCCGCCGAAGTCTTAACAAGTTTTTTTAAATAGTGAGATCCCAAAGTAAAAAATCGCGGAGAAAAAATGTTTTTCTCGGGGGATTTGTTTGCTGACGTCATGAGCGTGCACAATAGGAATATGAAGCACGCTCACGAATTTGATGAGACAAATTTACTTGCTACGTTATAATGAAAAATGAATTTTGAGAGATGGGTTGCTAAAGTCATTTCCAATTTTCAGCTGAAATGAAATTTTAATTTCTCATTTTTCAAATTCTCAGAAATGGGACTCGGCTGAAACAGCAGACTCAGAATTTATATTCTTGGATACAAAAGTGTACAAAAGCAAGAATTTTAATAGGGAATCGACTCCTGACATCCAAATGTATTACGAGGAGGAGGAGATCTTCGAATACTTGAATTTTCATCCGTCAAGTAGAAGGAAAAGATTTCGTGAGAGGAAAAGCACAATGCCTCCTTGGAAAAGAATCCTCATGCTCTACGTGTAATAAAAATACACACTGTTTTTAACTTCCCGTCTTGAATATTCCAATACTTTGACATCTTGATAAGCATGTCCGCTATCCAGTATTTTATTTCAATATATGAATCAAACGTTTTGATCTATTTTGGCAATTCGTTAAAAATACATCGATCAATTTTAGCGTCTCTGCGTTCGCTAGAGAAACTTTAAATTTGAAAAACGAAAGCAATGTAAGAAAAGAATTTAAGATCCCAACCTGCTGCCATCCGAATAAGACTGAGAGAAATTAAGGAGGATGGAATAATGGATAAATATTTAAATGGCTTTTTCAGGGTCTGATGGTTTAGTTAAGTAACATTTTGGACCTGTCATGGTTCCTTTTTAAAATTCTGATCAGAGGCGACAAGAAGAGAAAATGATTAGGGGATGGTTTCAAATATCGAAACGAAACATTATTTTAAAAATTTCTCGACATCTACGGCCATAGATTAATTTTCAGTTGTCAGTTAAATGTGCTCTGAATAATAACTGTTTTGAATTCATTTCAAGATTGTTTTTCGCGTGGCATGAACATTTTGCGGGAGTTGCGGATGGAGACAATTTTTGCTTTTTAGGCAAAAAAGTCAGTCCGTCTCTAAATGACTGACAGTTTCATCAGTGAAACATCAGCCTGAGAGCAGATGTTCTACTGAAAGGACAGACAGGAAGGAAGGAAGGAAATTGATAATTTGAATTTTTATTATTTCTTCTTCCATCTTCTCTATAGTTTTACAAAGAGGAAGTAAACAACTGGTAGGCGATAGATGTTTCGGGTAAGTCCGGAAGCAAAGAATGTGCTCTGGATACTTGCAATTGATTCACTTTTGTAGTTCCTTATTTGGCTGAAGATAAGAGACTTTTGCAATATTTTATTATGCGCGATTTTTCAGCGGCAACGTAATTTTGCGGATCGACAAAGATCCTCAAAATCAATTTAGGTATACCGTTCCGGGAAATTCCAATTATATATATCTACATACATATATATATACATATATATATATACATAGTTATAATTTTATATATAAAGATAGTTTTATCAAAACAAAAAACAAAAAACTAACGGATATAATAGTCTATTCCAATTTTTTATTTATTTATTTATTTATTTTATCTATAGAGGTTTGAAAAAAAAAATCATAAACTAACAGATGTCTTCATCCTTGAAATTTTAACCCGCTAAGAGCGTTCTTGAGTGAAATTTATTATCCAGAGAGACACCTTTTATGGGGTTTATTGATGCAAATCATACCCTCATAATTTAAAGATAGCTGTACATGTATAAATATGTAATAGCCTCGACGGACAGTTCGTTCAACCAATTTAAAACGAGTAAGATGCATTGAGGAAGTTTTAAGTGTTGATGATATGAAGAATTATAAGATTTTACTATTTCAAGGCCAGGTGGTTGCTGTGAAGAGGTATCATCCCGTGTTGCCGGCAGTTCCGGAAAACCGTAGCCAAAGGAGGAAAACCGATTTAAGAGCTGCAGCATGATTACGACGACAAACTCGACAGAGGGTGGAACACAGACTGAAGTGTATGAACCATTGCCATGTTCCCCCTCCTCGGTAGTTGGGTTACAAAAACAATCGATTTATTTCTCAGCAGTTAACATTTTCCTCTCCATCGCAGCATTTCTTGGGAATTTTCTAATCCTTGTTGCCCTTAACAAGGAATCTTCCCTTCCTCCACCGTCAAAACTCTTGTTTCGTTGTTTGGCAACAACTGATCTGTTGGTTGGTCTCGTTACCCAGCCTCTCTATGCTACTTATTGGATGTCCCTGGTTCACAAACACTGGACTCTTTGTCAATACGCAAGAGGCGCAGGCTACATATCAAGCTTTGCATTATGTGGGGTGTCTTTGTTGACGTTGACGGTCATAAGCGTGGACAGACTTCTCGCTCTGTTGTTGGGAATAAGAAACAGACAAATAGTAACTTTAAAGCGCACATGTATCATTACAGTTACGTTTTGGATTTCATCCGTCTCCGCTGCATCATTTTCCGTTTCACATCCTCGATTTACCCTTTGGTGTGGTATTATAGTCATACCGTCCTGCTCAGTGATCTCAATCGCCTCGTATACAAAGATATTTCACACTCTCAGACATAATCAGGCTCATGCACAAGATCATGTTCAACAACAGCCGAATGCACTGAACATGGCAAGATACAGAAAGGCAGTAAGCAGTGCACTGTGGGTGCAGTCAGCATTAGCTCTTTGTTATGTACCAAGATTTACAATGCTGGTTGTGATCTCCTATAGAAAAACTTATCCTTTACATGTAATCGTCATTAATGCAATAACAACTATCTTGATGTATTTTAACTCCACTCTGAACCCGTTTCTTTACTGCTGGAAAGTCAAAGAAGTGAGACAAGCAGTAAAGCAAGCAATCCGACAAGCACTTTGCTTTCCATGGACTTAGATATACTTTCTCGGAGTCGTCAGACTTGTGTTGATCAGGCATGATTTGAAGGGAAAGAAAAAAGAAGACAGAATCAGACAAACACAACTTTTCAGCATCTTTGGTGTCTGCCTATTTAAGGTAATGAATATCAAATAAAAACACAATGCCATTGTATAGAATTCTAACCCCGTCGACAAAAAGACAAATTGAAAGGCAAAATTAATATCACCCAGATGCCGAGAGGGGGTATCTGTTTGATTTTCTTCCGATATACTGTATAGCAGGGCCTCTGCGAACTTGCTGCTCATTTTCTTGCCAAATCCTAAGGCTGTCTCCTACTCATTCTATGTTTTTAAAATTGATCTAGTTAGCCATATAATAACTACGCGCTATTGTGGACTAAACTCCTGCTCCTGATTGTAAGCGCACAATTTATAAGAATTGAACGAAATAAACTATTTTAGATTGGAATGTGTCTCAGCTTTGAAAGGGAAAGGTTAAATAGCAAATGGAGATATTGTAGAAGTTAGGAAAGTAAATAAAGATGAAAATCAGATTGACGGTCTGTTGGTTTAGGTTCTATTTATTTTTCACCTCCTGTGTAGTTCCTTTGCGTTCTTGTCAGACGCGAAAGGAATAGAAAATAACTTGTAGACGTTTTTCAATAACGAGAGATCAATGAGACATTGTTATAAACTACAAGGAATCTAGGTTCACCGAATAATTTTGAATTATTCTCTATGTTAGGTTATTATAACGGTTGTGACTTTTATCTCGGAGATATTTGCTTGTAATATGTAAAGATCGCGGTTCGAGTTTTAGTTATTCAATCGGAGATCATTTAGGCTTTTCGGGAGCAAATGTCTCTCCGATTCCAGATGCGTGAAATCTAAAAACTTATGCTTTAGAGTTTGCCTATTTATGCTAATAAATATAAAATAAAAACACAGTACCATTTTTTAGTATTCTAACCCCGTCGACGAAAAGAAAAACTGAATGGGAGAATTAATTGCCGCACGTATCGCGACTCATTAGCGATGAGCAAATTCTGTCACAGTCAATCTGACTTTAAAGGCACAGGAGAATACGCCAAAGCTAGCTTTGATTGTTTAAAGTTGCTTCACTAGCTCCCATTTTCATAGAGTCTTCTCCAGGAACTTTCTCTAAAAACCTGTTTCTGATTTTACAGAATGCGGGCAGAAGTACAAGCCACAAACAGCCGTTCATCTACTTAGTTAGGTTCAAGTAAAGTTAACCGTTCCTTATCAATATCTAGTTTGCATAAAAAGATAATTTTCTCATTATCAAAAACACTTGAACATATGTCTTCATCTTTAAAAGGTTTGTCAGTTCCTATTGAAATGCGTTTTTGAATTGAATCTATTAACCAGATGCACACCTTTGTGGTGCACATCATTGGTTATAGTTTGATTGATGGAAGACACTCCAAAGAAAGGATTACACGTGTTGTTATTTAATAGTCTCGACAGAAAAATCGTTCAATCATTTTGAAACCAGTAAATGCATTGAGAAAGTCATAAGAGAGGATGTCAGCATCCAAATATTGTGGCAAGTCGCTCAAAATTCGTTTTAATTGTGGCGTAGTTTCTTTTGTGAAAATATATTTAGTTGAGTAATGACTTTTTTTCGTTCGACCGCTCAACTATGCAAATTTTCACTGTGAATATCACCCGAGTTGCGTGACCTCGTGTAACGATTCCACTTGACCTCCGGCATTTCTGTCAACATATGCCTTTGCTTAATCCCCTGTTATTATTAAAGCTGGCAAAGAAATATTTATTTTTTGGTGAATATTTTTGTTCGACATACTTTTCCTATTTCGAAAAGTAGCGTCAAAACAAAGACAGTTTTAACAATGACCGATATGACAGAATCTACTGAGCTTCAAGCTTTTAAAACACAAAAGGATGGTTATAAAGTTACTGTAAAAATTTCCTTGTGTATTTATGTTGTTCTATCTTGAGACGAAGTCAAAGTCAGGCAAAATTAACTTAATAGCGACTATAGAATATAAATGGTGCGCCTACTTGTCGCCACCGTTAACTGGCTTAAATCATTACAATTTGTTTAAAAAATCTAACATAACACTCTTACCTTATTTATTTGTGATTTTATTAGCCGTTTCGATTATTATATTTCGGCTGGGTATTACTTTTTGACAGGAGCCCAGGTTTTGCGTTATGTTTTCCCCTCCGCCATTTATATCATGAGCTGTTCACGCAATAATTGATACCGACACAAATGAATATTTACCATGTATAAAGATTTTTTTATTTTTTATGTTGAATTGAGAATATTAGAATATGCGCTTTTTTCGGTCACTAATCGTTGTTTTAGCGGCAGCAATGCAGTTAAAAGCGGGTTGTTGCTTTAACGCTATTAAAATTTATAGTATTCAGACAGGCGAGCAAAGCGTGATGCTCTGGGAATAAAAACTTTTAGGGGCCTTGTACATGATATCCGAATGATTTTTGCTCAAAAACGGGTTCATAGCGGTTGCCACATGATACCAGAGTAAATTTATTCGAAACGAGTCATTTCTGAGTGAGTTTACGGCGGTTTTCATTACAGACCGAAACACTCATTCTGGACGACCTTTTCTACCTGTATAACGTAAACGCGGCACGACTCTTATATTTGTACGAATCCTCTTTAGGAGCGAGGGAAGCATAGAAAAAGACAGAAAAGGAAATAAATACTGGTATTTACAGGCTAAATTATCTTGCATGTAAACGCGGTATGAAATTAATTTCGTTCCGGAACGAAACTTATTTTGGAATTATGTAAAAGCAGGAGTACAGGGTTCCTGGTAAAAGGTACGGACCATTAGATTTTTATGGGGAGGGGGGACTGGGGTGAACCACTGGGGGGCAAATCACATTTTTTGTTTTTAGGTGCTGACGGGGCGGGGAGGCGATCGGAAATGGGTGAGGATGCTTGTGTCGTACCTTTTAGGAGTCAAAATCAGAGACCTGGTACCTTTTCCGATGTCTAAAACTTTAGTAGACTACCAAAGACCTAGCTGGTACGTTTTAGGGTGTTTTTCATTTAATAAAATATCGGAAATGAGCATTACTAGGACGATTTTAATGATCTAACTCAAGCACATCTAAAAAGGAGTTTTTATTTCTGGGATTTTTCAGCTTTTTGTTTTTGAATTGGTACTTTTTAGGATTAGATTTCCTTATTCGCTTCGTTTGATCTTAGCCACGCAAACCTTTTATTATTGTTTTTATAATGAAAATTATTGTTTTGACAATTATTGCAGATTCAAATGATCACACGGTTCGCTCTAGAGAACCTCTCGGTAAACCAAACTATATTAGACTTTTGTCTTGGCCTCTCTACAATTCATGGTATAATTTGAAGAGAAGAGGAGAAATATCTATCTCTGATAGACAAAACAATGCAAGTATTGAAATAATTCCTCCAGGAAAATACACTCTTGAGGGCCTTGCGAAAGCCTTTGGGAAAATATTACTCCTCGGGATTGATCAGCGTTTGCAAGGGAAAAATCTCCTCAGCCGATTTACTTCATTCAACAGTTACCTTGCCCATGTGTGATCTTTTGGACAAGGATGAAAACCTATTCAATGGGGAACCCTCGAGAGTTCTTGGTTGCTTTGACACTGCTAAGAGCCAGTTTGAAAGGGTAAATTATTCTCTACCGAATCCCGTGTTGCGAAAAATAACATCAAGGAATGATATCACTTCCATACGAATTTTCGTCCCTGATGAGCTTGAATTAGAGATTATTTAATGATTTAAAAAATGGCTGATCAAAATGTTTTGCGAAGCTCTGTGAGCCAGGGACCCTAAAGCCTTCTGCCAAGCGCACCGCCGATATATCCAATTATAACACCAAACAAATTCAGGTTGGATATGATTTCTGATTGCAAGAAGGAGCTTGAGAATGACGTTACTCATTACCGACGTGTCCTTGCCAAATTAAGGAAAATTAGATCCGCTTGTCACACAACATACACTGTGACAGGAGTAACAGCGGTTGCATTGTTAACAAGCGGTATGGCGGTTTCTCTGAGTGGAATTAGGATTTATTGTGGGAGCACCAATGGCTGTTTTTAGCCGGCTTTTTAGGATTTATGTCAACAGCATTTGGTGTTGGGAGCAAGACTCTCAATAAAAAAATTACAAAACATGAAAAAAACTATTTCAATAGCAGAGACAAAACACCTGTCAGCTAGCGGGTTGTTTTCAAAGGCAATTGAAAATAATTCTATCTCTGATATAGAGTTCAACTCAATTTTGCACGAGATTGAGCAGTATAAATCGCTGAAAAGACAGTTGATAAATAAAGCAAAAAGCTCATCGGAGGTTGATGTTGGTGTGAGAGAACAGATAAGAGAAGATTTTCGAAAAAAGTTTATATCTTGTTTATATCTATACAAAAATTCTATAGACATTTTTATGTCTTTAGAATTTTTGGGATCGCCCCAAATGTCATCAGTAATTTATGTGTTTGTATAGTTTATATGCTTAGAAAAAAGGTTATAATCGTGTAGATGCTGACATAAAACAAGATATACCAGAGGACTGCATCAACTCTGAAAATATTCTCTCAAAAGCCATTGGGAATGTGCATAGAGACATTTTATATTGTTCAGCCCTTCAAGGAGAAATATTGGCAGTTTTGAGAGAAATAACTACACCAGAGGCGTACAAGTTGATTTTACGCGATAGCATCGTCATGTCGCGGACACATGCTACTTTTTTGTTAAAATTTTATGGACTGGTCGAAGAATTTCCTTGACTTATGAATTGTCAATTAACACAAATTTTCATTTTACAAAAATCTGAAAACTATAAGGTCTGTTTGTGAGAACAAAGTCGTTTATTGGAAAAATAGACCGTGAACATTGATGAAGAATATTTATTCTTACTATTTTTTTTAAATATAAAAGTCTCACGCGTGAGACAAAGAAGGGGGGTGAATGTCGCGGACACATTTATCATTATTTTTTTAATGTAAAAGTCTCGCGCCTGAGATAGAGAGGGTAGGTGAATTTAGCTTGCTAAACCGCACACACGTGAGACAAAGAAGGCAGGTGAATTTAGCTTATGCTAAAGCGTAGGTAGTTTTATTCTAACATTCGTTTAAATGCTTCCTATGTCAAAATGTATAAGACAAATTTTTGATCGAAATAAAATTGTTAAACCAAGAGAATGAATTTGAAATAAATTTACATGTATCAAAGAAGCTTCTCATGAAAAAACAGGTACCTGTAACACCTCGATGGCGTGACAAGAGAATCGTTAAAGAGAGTAATTTTCACACTCTCTTTTGAACTCGCGTGTGAAAAATTCAAGTTACCTTGAAATCAAGGTTGTTTTGAAAATGTGCCAGAACTGTTTTATTGAAATCAATGTTGACTTGAAATCAAGGTAAAATTCTAGAGTTGCCTTAAAATCAAGGTTGTTTTTTATATTGGACACGAAATGTGTCAGAGCCAGCTTTTTGTAACTACTGCACACCCTCCAAATTTCAAGAAAGGTGTATATGTATTTTTATGTTATTTTCTCGACTGAAAGTTCGTTCAACTAATTAAAAACAAGTGTTTTAGTGTTAATGATATAAAGAATTATAAGATTTCAATGTTTCTTAACCAGGTGGTTGCTGTGAAGAAGTATTATCCCGTGTTGCCAGCAGTTCCGAAAAACCGTAGCGAAAGGAGAAAAACCGTTTCAAGAGCTGCACCATGATTGCGACGACAAACTCATCAGAGGGTGGAACACAGACGGATACGTATAAAGTATTGGCATGTTCCCCCTCCTCGGTAATTGGGTTACAACAACAATCGATCTATTTCTCAGCGGTTAACATTTTCCTCTCCATCACAGCATTTCTTGGGAACTTTCTAATCCTTGTTGCCCTTAACAAGGTAACTTCCCTTCATCCACCATCCAAACTCTTGTATCGTTGTCTGGCAACTACTGATCTGTTGGTTGGTCTTGTTACCCAGCCTCTTTATGCTACCCATTGGATATCCTTGGTTCGCGAAAACTGGAGTCTTTGTCGATACGCAGGGGATGGAATCCAGATATCGAGCTACACATTATGTGGGGTGTCTTTGTTGACTTTGACGGCCATAAGCGTGGACAGACTTCTCGCTCTGTTGTTGGGAATAAGATACAGACAAACAGTAACTCTAAAGCGCACATGTATCATGACAGCTACGTTTTGGATTTTATCCGTCGCCGCTGGATCAATTTCCATTTCACATACTCGAATAACCCGTTGGTATAGTATTATAGTTATACCGTTATGCTCAGTGATCTCAACCGCCTCGTACACAAGCATATTTCGCACTCTTAGACATCATCAGGCTCAAGTACATGATCATGTTCAAAAACAGCCGAGCCAAATAAATGTGCTGAACATGGCAAGATACAGGATGGCAGTAAACAGTGCACTGTGGGTGCAGTTAGCATTAGTTGTTTGTTATGTACCACAACTGATAATGCTGCTTGTGATCACTAATAGAAAAAATGTTTCTTCACATGTAATAGTTATTGATGCAATAACAAATATTTTAACATATTTTAACTCCACTTTGAACCCGTTTCTTTACTGCTGGAAAGTCAGAGAAGTGAGACAAGCAGTAAAGCAAACAATCCGACAAACACTTTGCTTTCCATGGACTTAGATAAAATTTCTGGGAGTCGTCAGACTTGTATTAATCGGGCGTACTTTGGAGGGAAGAGAAAAGAAGATAGAATGAAACAAACAGGATTTTTCAGCATCTTTTGTGTTCTACACGCTTTAGTGTTTGCCCATTTATGCTGATAAATATCGCATAAAAACACAGTACCATTGTTTAGTATTCTACCCCGTCGGCAAAAAGACAAAATGAAAGGCAGAATTAATATCACCCAGATGCCGAGAGGTGCTATCTGTTTGACTGTCCTCTGATATACTGTATGGCAGGGCCTCTGCGAACTCGCTGCTTGTTTTCTCACCAAATCCTAAAGCTGTGTTCCGTTCATTCCATGTTTTTTTAAATTGATCTAGTAAGCCATTTAATAACAATACGCTATTGTTGACTAAACTGCTCCCTATTATAAGGCACGATTTATAAGAATTGACCAAAATAAACAGTTTTAGATGGGAATATGCCTCAGCCTTAAAAGGGAAAGGGTAAATAGAAAATGCGAGATATTCTAGAAGTTAGGAAAGTTAATAAGGATGGAAATTGGATGGACGGTTTGTTGGTTTAGTTACTATTTATTTTTCATCTCCTGTGTAGTTCCTTTGCGTTCTTGTCAGACGCGAAAGGAAGAGAAAATAACTTGTACACGTTTTTTAATAACGAGCATTAGTTTTTTGTCATGTACCAGAACTTATAATGCTGGTTGTGATGACTTATAGAAAAACTTATTTTTCACATGTAGTCGCTATTGATGCAATTGCAACTATTTTATTGTATTTTAACTCCACTCTGAACCCGTTTCTCTACTGCTGGAAAGTCAAAGAAGTGAGACAAGCAGTAAAGCAAACAATCCGACGAGCACTCTGCTTTCCATGGACTTAGATAGATATTTTTAGGAGTCGTAAATTAAAGGAAAAGAAAATAGAAGATAGAATGAAACAAACAGGATTTTTCAACATTTATTGTGTCTCGATGCTTTAGTGTTTGCCTTTTTTTTTTCTGATAAATATCTAATAAAAACACCATAGCATTGTATAGTACTCTAACCCCGTCGGCAAAAAGGCAAATTGAAAGGCAAAATTAATATCACCTAGATGCCGAGAGGTGCTATCCGTTTGACTTTCCTCCGATATACTGTATGGCAGAGCCTCTGTAAACTCGTTGCTCATTTTCTTGCCAAATCCTAAAGCTGTCTTATGCTCATTCCATGTTTTAATAATTGAATCAGTGAGCCATATAATAAAAACACGCTATTGTGGACAAAACTGCTCCTGATTATAAGCGCACGATCTATAAGAATTAAAAGAAATAAACTCATTCAGACGGGAATATCTTAAAGTTTCGAAAGAGATACTGTGGAAGTTAGGGAAGGTAATAAAGGTGAAAATTAAATGGACGATTTGTTAATTAAGTTACTTTATATTTTTCACCTGTTGTAGCTCCTTGGCGTCCTTGTCAGACGCGAAAAATATAGAAAATCGCTCGTAGATGTTTTTCAATAACGACACATCAATGAGACATTTTTTTTAAATTGCTTGGAATCTAAGTCCAACGAATAATTTAAAATAATTTTATGCGTTCCTTTTACCTCAGAGTTATCTCCGCGTGATATGTAAAGATTGCGGTGGAAGATTCAGTTATGAAATTGGAGATCGTTTATGCTTTGCGGGAACAAATGTCATTCCGATTCCAGACGCATGAAATTCTTAAAATTTATTCCAAGAACTAGGAGGATCTGGTGGAATATGAGGAAGATTTTAAAGAATCGTATGGTTTCCAATACAGAACTAAGGGGAGGTCAGTCGTCGCTGACAAAGTACATCGGGGAGACTAAAGGATAAGAGTCATATTGTTTGCGTAGTCTTCAAAACGCGGGAAATTGGCAGTTAACATTTTCCTTTCCATCTCAGCTCTTCTTGAGAATTTTCTGATCCTTGTTGCCCTAAACACGGAATATTCCCTTCGTCTACCATCCAAACTCTTGTATCGTTGTCTGGCAACAACTGATCTGTTGATTGGTCTTGTTAGCCAGCCTCTCGCTACTACTTATTGGATGTCCTTGGTTCACCAACATTGGAGTCTTTGTCGATACGCAAGGGTTGCAATCTACATATCAAACTATGCATTATGTTTAGTGTCTTTGTCGACGTTGATGGCCATAAGCATGCACAGACTTCTAGCTCTGTTGTCGGGAATAAGATACAGACAAATAGATACAGACAAGGTGCGGTGCGAAATTCCAAGAGAAAGTTCGCTCTGCTTATTAATTACAGCGAAGTGTAGTCCATGTATTGTTGTAATGCATTGCAGAAAAATTCGAAATCAGTCTTATCCACTTAATATGTAACTATTCTATCGCTCCTTCCTGTTGAAACCTCAACGAATGTTTGATTGTTGGTGTGATCCGAACAGCCAGGAGCTGGAGTCTCAGTACAAACGACCCCGCAAACACTCCAGGCCAGTGGAGCTTGAACTGGGCGCCATTTCTTATGATTAACCTTTTCGTATCACAACACACGAAATTCCCAATTTATAGGCGAGACTCCGCGCGAGGAAGCGTGACATGAACTGTACGCAATCACACGCAATGCATGGTATACCAATGCTTCGTATAGAATTCTCTCTTTCATTCATTGATCTCGTAACACTCTGGCAGTTATTATGCCAAAAAAAACAAGTTATAATAGAACTCAAATCGAGCTCCTGTAAAACCAGGGCTTCCATCCAGCAAGAATATTTAAAACCTTAAAAAGCGAAGGGTTATTAGTTAGCCTTTCAGGCATTGCTCTTTTAATCAAAAAGCTGTGTCTTATTAGCTCCGTAGCAAATTTACCTTGCTCGGGGAGACCGAAAAAGCTGTCTATGGAACTTTCAAAGACCAAGAGATGCGTAGGAATAACGGGAGGACGAGCGCATAGATTCGGAAGAAGCTGGCAAAACGCGGAATTCTCGTTAGTCGTCCACGGCGCGAAGATCGCGAGAACAGCAAGGCTGGACTCTCTTGCTTGGAAAGTAAGTTTTCGAATCTTCTCTCGCACCATCCAAACTTCCCGCGTTAAGGACGGAATTAAAATTTGTTCCTGTGTGAATGTATTCTGCGAAAACTAAAGAAACATTCAGATATCATATTGGCCAAAACGTGTACTGTTTGTATAAGTCAAAAGCGATGCGGAAAATTTACTATTACAGCAGCATGTGATGACATTGATCAGAACAGGCTTATGTTTTGTCGAATTGTCATTCGAACTTTTGCACGAGAACAAAAATCAAACAACCAAAAATTTACATTTCGCTTGCGTTATTTTTGCACAATACTGTAGTAACGGTTACCACACATCAGCATAATTAAGCATTATCAACTGAGGTGATAAGGTAAATTAGCCACCTTAAAGGAGTTTTAAAGCTGACGTTTCCAGCCGTAGCCCCTCGTCAGGGGGAAGGGCTAAAGCTCGAAACGTCAGCTTTAAAACTCGTTATGGGTGACCAATTTACGTCATCAACTCAGTTGAAAATATTAAATTACCCTGTTATACTCTCCCACCAACGCAGCACCACAGTTTCTTTAGAAACTTACCCCCGTTACCATATACCGATCGATTTCAGCTCTTCTGCGAGATCGAGTGACTGTAATTTAAAGACAAAGGCAACGTATGGGAAGAGTTTATGAACACAATCAGCTGTCCTATATACGTATACATGGCACCCTGTTAAAAAATGACCAAATTCTAATTTCAAAAACACTTCATTTTATCTTATTGTATTTTACTAGGAAGGGCATAAAATAGCGCGCTCTTGAAGGCTGGACTTTTCCTCTGTTAAAGCACTTTTAAAGCAACCACCACAATAAATTTCTCTCTTAGAAGCGAGTATATTTCACATTTAAAAGAAAAGGGACCAATAGAGAATGAGACTAAAGAAATTAAGAAGGATGGAAAAATGAAAAAAAAAATCTAAATGGCTTTTTAACAATGAGCAAACTAGTTTGGTTAAGTAATATTTCATACCTATCGCTGTTCCTTTTATCAACCAAATCGGATGGGAAAAGAAGTGGGTGTTTTTCAATAACCAAACATTGTTTTTACGTTGCATTGTTAAAATTATTTCGATTAATTGTCAAATTTATAATTTTTTTCGGGATTATGACGGTTTTCAATTAATTTAGGGACTGTTTTTCTTGTGGCATGAACATTTTGCTGGAGTTTTATTTAAGCAGATAAAGCCAATTTGTGCTTTGCAGGAAAAAAAACATAAGTCCGTCTCCACATGACTGATATTTCTTCTGGGAAATAACTAATTCGATTTCTGCATTCATTAGTACCAGTATGGAATCTTTTTCGATTTGGAACTGATGCAAGCTTTATAACTAGCTTTGTATCATGTGGAGTTTCTATGTTGACAATGGTGGCCATAAGCGTGGATAAACTTCTCGCCTTGTCGTTGAGGCTGAGATACAGACAAATTGTAACATTAAAGCCAATGTATATCATCACAGCTATTTTTTGGATAACATCCATTCTTGCTTCATAATTTTTCTATTCTGTCATTCTCAGTTATCTCTTTCATTTCGTACACAAAGATTTTGCGCGCTCTCAGTCGTAATCAGGTTCAAGTACAAGATCATATTCAACAACAGTCGAGCCAAACAACTGCACTGAACATGGCAAGATACAGGGAGGCAGTGTGCAGTGCACTGTGGGTGTAGTTAGCATTAGATGTTTGTTATGCACCAAGTTTAACATTGTCGACACTTGCGATCATCTGGAGGACTTATTCATTACATTTACTCACAGTGCCTCTTATGAGATGATTCATCATGCTCCATGTTTAATAAAAACATACAGTGTTTCAAATACGCTCATAAAAACAGAGAATACCAAAGTGGAAGTTTTAAGAAATGTATCTCTAAATTTGATTTCACCGGGAGAGACAGGTCACTCGAAAACCTATTTGGGTTAGGATTGCGACCGATTGAAAACCTCTAAAGGTCACCCAAGTGC